TTTGGGACAATTCTCAAACGCATGTTTCCATTTTTGGATCGAATAGTCTTCAGAACGGCTGCGTTCTGTCCAGGTTGTCGATGACGGAAACGACGAATTAAAGCATTTGCACGCATACTCATCACTGATGTACACTAAAAATAGGAAAAATAGACTGTTGCTGATTTTACCCAGGACTGAAAGCTTGGGTTAAAACTTACCCTATCACAATTGCATTCATTGAATGGGCATACGGCTGCATGACCTTTAAGTACGGAGATGAATCCATGACCTTCGCATTTACGGCATGTGAGTCGTTTCACTGAAAGAGGAAGAGCCATAATATGGTTAGAAGTAAAGCCGGCAACCTTTATGGCTGCTTTATGTTCAAGGAACGTATGATAATGCGTCTAGTCTGCAGTCATTTGCTAGGTTTAAGTGCGCTATTTTTTAGCAAAAATTTTTAGCTGAAGGATGTTGAGGTTTCCCCCTTTTTCTATAAGTATTTCTAGACCTGCTACGCTTTCTAATAAAACTGCACAGCTTTCCGCTGTGGATTTAGCGATTAAGTCCGGAAACGGATTACGACCCATCAAACCTTCTCATCGTCGTTTACTTAGGAAAAAAATCATGCAGTAAAGCGTATTTATGAGTTATCCATGGATTAATCCAATTCGCTTCATCACATGAGTCATGAAACCTGGCACATTTGCATTTCTTGAAGGAAAAACAAGATGATGGAGAGATTAGGAATTATTACGTAGTAGTTACAATTCAGGATTCTAGGAAAACTTAACAACTTCCGTAATTAGTCGATTCCCCTGAGCAGAAGCACAAGTCCGTTGATTTACTAGCAAACACCGAAATATTCTACCAAAGAATTCAGGAATTGCATTTTAAGCACTACTAGTACTTCAAGCATGGCACTTTGTCTGTAATTACAGAATACTCATGAGAAAGCGAATTGTGCTCCCAAAGTCATTGTTCAGACGGTTAAAGAAAAGTTCTATTGCAGAAATTGCACCTTTAAGCGGGAGAAATGAGCAAAGGGAGATGGATTTAATTTACCGTCTATAAGGTTCGGGCTTGTTCAAGTGACAGTTTTTAAGGCTACGGTAAAACTTTGCCTTCACCCGCCTGAATACCACCAGTTTTTTTCCTAATTTGTTTTTTCTTTTCTATAGGGAAATGCAGAAGAAAATAAACATTGCTTTTTTGAGATGGATAAAATGCATTGTTATTCTGTATTTCAATTCAGTTGGTAGGGGATAAAGTTTTTTTTTATAAATGGATTTTTGCATAAGC